TGACAACATCATCCTATAGTTCTAGTAAGACAGAGCGGTAGTCACTGAGCCATCCTGTTTCAGAGGGCTGCTGCCTTTGCATACACTGCTGTGGTTACCTTTACTGGATTCTCCTTGCCTGACAAACTTGCCTGCCTAGTCCTAGCATCTTACCTAGCCTGGACCCTCCTTGCTCACTTCTGGTCCTGTCTGATGCCATTAGCTTCCCCCATAAGCCTCAGGTATTTGCAAGACGGGGCAAACAGAACGGTCTTGTGAAAATATGCACATGTTTGAAATGCAACACATTGAAATTCTGGAATGCTGCCAAATGGACAGAATATATACCCAGATTTCTAGCTCTTAGACAGACAGAGGAGGAAGGATCAAGAGTGAGGTTAATGGTGAAAATTGTGTGGAATTGGATGAGAATTTCAACATCAGGTATTAGCTCATGAAATCAGTAACAAAACATGAATGGGAACGGGGCAAGTTCTTGCATGTTCTGCTTTCTTTTCATGCTGATCTGATTTGTTCAATTAATATGGAGCGCATTTCATTTCTCCCATTGTGATTTATTCCACAGTCCATTTTTTCTTATCCTAGATGCAGCCATGATGACCATCACCACCACCACCACCACCCAAACTTTATATGAGTCATCAAAACAAAAAGGTCCAGATAGATTTGGAAATCGATCGCTTTAGCAGTTTTGTAAATATTGCTTCATTTTTTCAGTCCATTCGAACACATCCATCATATAGTGGGAAAACAATTGCTTTCTTGTTGACACGTACAAAAGGTCACTGGTAACAGTCACTTTACACAGGAATGTTTTCAAAGTAACATACTGCTTCCATAATCTTTATATATAAAACCCAAAGTACCCCAAAGAAGGAACACCGGGAAAAGACCATGTGCCAACTTAAGTCCGGCGTGTGAGCTCAACCACAGACCAGTCACTTCAGTGCTTTGGTGAAATAACTAGGCCTTGGTGCAAGTAGAGCGCCTCAGAGCAAGTTCCCCCCAAGTCCGTGAAGCGAAGGAGACAGGAAAGGCTAGAAGTTGCTTCCCAGTTTGGAACGCATGCAACACGGCAATCTTTTTGAAGGGTGGGGAGCTAACTGAGAGAACAACTGCGGCAGGGCTGAAAGTGCGAGATGCCATGAACCGCCTTGTTGCACAGGGCCTTGTCAACACACAGCATCCTCCCAGGGCCCTGTGGTTGGAAGAGATGGCCGCCCAACTCCCCAGCATCCCACAGAATGAACCCAGGACAACAATCTGCTGGTATACAAACCCATTTATGTTCGGTAGCTCTTTATATGTTTTATGATATTGTTTTACCAACATATACATCCAGAAAACAAATGCACAGCTAAACTCAATCCCTACTGCTCCTCCACTCACTGTGCACCTGAGAACTTTTCCTATGAAATTCATTCCAAACATCCTTTCCAATCCACTGAATTCCTATTTTTTCAGCATCAAAGAAAGAACCTAGGAATAGGTGCAGGGGAGGGAGAATGATCAAAGCATTTGCTTATCAAAAACTGTCTGGGTGACCACCACTAATGGTAATTTCTAATTAAATCTGAGGATGTTCTCGTACGTGAATTTGATAATATCGCTTTTCCACTGTGTTTTTATGTGTCTCAGGAGGCTCCAGCCAAATTTAAACCAGGATGCATAAGTGGTGAGAGATTAGTTTTAGGAGCACTGATAAGAACGTAAATGCAAATGAAAACAAGAAAACAGAGAAGATAATTGAGACAATGCTAGATGGAGTAGTAATGACTTTATTCCTACTCCATGTCATTTTCACATGTGTGCGCTCATAAGCCTATTCTATCCTTTTCCCACAATAATTTGCAATATTTTAGAAAATACTTGCTAAAATACATCCTCCCCACAAAAGTTTGCTTGGTGCCAACTCTGGTTTCATTTTGGAACCAGGCAAAAAACATCTCTTTTCCATCCATTTTAATAACTGATTTTAATTCTGGATTGATTTTAATAATTTCTTTTAATTAATTTTATCAAAGGTTTAAAATTTTGTTGGGTATTTATTAACTTAGGGTGATTGTCTCACCTTGACCTGTTCTAGGTAGATAGGTAGAGAGAGAGAGAGAGAGAGAGAGAGAACATTTACTTAAATGCAATTTTTGTGCTGAGTTTTCAATGTATGCTCAGTAAGCTTTCCCACAGAATTTGAACCTGATTAATTCTCAGGGATGGCTTGGCTTACTTGTGGGTGCACTGGCCTTGGCAATCCAGTTGTGGGGCTGTCACTCCTTTTGTCTGAATCAGAATCTGCACCCAAAACCCCTGAAGGGTTTTCTTGTTTTTTAAATAGGAGGAATGGTTCCAACCTCCACAAGGGCTTCTCTCCAATTGGAAGGAGCAGCCAGTAATTCCAGCTCTTCATCCATCCCAGCTTTTATTCTGAGGTTTACAGGACCAAATCACAGTGCTGGACTTCACTTCCCAAAGCAGGCTCACCACCACGGACAGCTCCTCTGAAGCTCTGAGTAACTGCTGTAATGAATAAGGAGTTACAGAGCCCCTTTGCCCAATCCCAGCTCAGGAAGGAAGCCCAGTCAGAGTGAGCTCCTGCCATCAGCACAGCCAGTCAGAATGACACGTTTGTTTCCCATCTTCTTTCATTAGCCAACACATCACCTTGAGTAAGACAGACATGCTATTAAAGAGGAGTTAAACGTATGTAGAGTCTTCTGGCCTCTTAGAGTTTAACACATTTACCTATCCATTTGACTGATTGATATCATGCCTTTTTCATTTTTTAAAGAAATCGCACATTTATTATGGCATGACCTCTCCAGGCCACAGTCCCCGTCATCACAGACATGGCCTGCAGTTCACAAACGTGTGTTATCGAACACCTGTGTTAGTCTTTAAGACACCAAGATGTCTGTTGCTTTCACTGCAGCATAAACATGGTTCATTCCCTGGCACGTAACACCTGCAATTTTAATTGCTCATTTCAGTCCAGAAGGAGGTAGCTCATCCAGTTTGGAATCAACTTCTTGTCATTGAGTTGCATTTCCCTAATGATCAGCATCCTAGCATTCCCTGCTTCATGATTGACGACTGCAACGCCCCTTTGCTCCACAGAATCTCTCACTTCCACAGAAACACCCTCCTATTTCTTAAGAGCGATTTCATTTCTCCGGCACACAAGGCTTTCCGTAGCCACATGCAGGAGGCAGGCTTGGGAGGACCCCAGCTTTGAAGGCATGCAATAAAATATTTTGTGGGTGGGAAGTGAAACGGGTTGGGGGACTGTATGTCCTTAGTGCATGGGAAAATGGGGAGAAAGAAATTCAGCATTCTGGCTGGAATCCTGAACTGCACCAGCGAGCTGGAACGTAGGTCCTGCTTGACATTTTTGCTCAGGCACAGAGTTAAATTATGCCACTTCTTGGACCACATCTGGTCCCAAACACTGCCAGTTCCTGAAAATTAGCCTAGAGTAATCCAACTGTCAACCTACCTACTGAGACTGGGCAAAGGCTTCGAATGCATTCGCGTGTCGATTTGCTCAGCCAATATGTGTTTACAACCTGAGATGTGCCACCAGCGAGGAAAATGTAGTTCCTCACCCAAGCCTGAGCGTGATCAGGTCTGGTTTTACAGGCATAATACCCGGCATTTCTTATAATTCACCCTGCCTTCATGTGTGAGCGGCAGCCCAATTTAAGCCAGGCTAACTTTTCATAATTCCCTCTAGAACAAAGGTCTGCTTCCCTTCAATAAAGCAATGTGTGGAGGTTCCGCCCAGGAGGTACAAAAGGTCTAGAGAAAAAATCATTTGCATTCTCTGAAGAAGAAGAAAAACAATAAAAAATTCAGTGGAAAAGTTCTGGTCAAGGCCTTTCATATTCACAGCGGCTGGGAAGATGTGCAGAGGAAATTATGAAGAAAATGAGAGAACATTACTAAGAAAAGAAAGATTATTTCTGTGTGTGAGGGCAAAGGGGGCAGATAGGGTATTTCACACCTTCCTTTATAAGGGACCAAGGCACACTCAAGGAAAAAACCTTCAGTCGACAGGGAACAGAGTTGAAAATGGTAGGAAGAGGACCCAATTTCATCCTACCTTCTGCAGTGCTGTACCTCCAGGATGGTTTCTGAACTGGAATTTGGTGGGATGGGATCTGGCTGGATTCCACAGTGGAGGTCAGACTAGATGGCCCGGGAGACCCCTTCTGACTTGCTCTGTTTTCTATGTTTCTATGTTTTGGATTTTGCTTTCCAGTGAAAAACTAAACTGGTGGAATTCTGAACGTATGTGGGTTCTTCAAAAATCTTCTGCACTTTTTGAAACTCTATTTATTAAGAATTTCAAAAACAAATTGCATCACTTTTCTACATAGTCACCTTCCTTTGTGATGCATTTTTCCCAGCATCATACCAATTTTAATGCCATCAGCACAAAATATGTAAAATATATTTATAAAATATAAAATTTATTTATAAAATATAAAACTGCAGAAGACCCCTCATATAATTCTGTTCTCCCCTGCAGAGAAAGGCAGGACGCGCTCCAACAGAGCAAAGCTCAAGGAACCCAGGTTCCATTTGGATGCCAGGAAGCACTTTCTGACAGTCAGGACCCCGAGGGTGTGGAATGGGCTTCCACGGGAGGGGGTTGAGGCCCCATCGGTGCGGGTGTTCAAGGATAGGCTGGACATGCACATGGTGGGCATGTTGTGAGTGGAGCTGGCTGGAGCCAGGGGTCAGACTAGATGGCCCGGGAGACCCCTTCTGACTCGCTCTGTTTCTATGTTTCTAATTCGTCTTATCTCCCCATCTCATCTTTTTAAAAAATTTGTCCATGCCTGTCTTTCCATTTTGCTTGTGCCCAAAGGCATGGGCAGTGTCCTAACCTTTTGGACAGTTATGCTAGAAGGGGACAGCAAAAAGGGTGTCTTTGCACCTTGTTTAGCTTTAGCATTTTGCCAATTCAGTACAGACGGCTGACACACCCCGATACTTACTTAGTCTGATGTTTGGAACCCTTCAGGTGGGCGTGATACTGTTCTATTGAGTTTAGAGTGACGTTGCAGATGTTACAAGTATAACTTCGCTTCAGACCTGCAGACAAACGTAACAGAATTAGCAGATAGGGTATGGAAGTGGAATATTCAGCATTATTTCTAGCAGGAGAAGAAACACTTTCTATAAGGGTGGAAAAATGTCCGAGGAAATTCACCTAGGTGGAAGGATTGCCAGAATTTTTATTTTAAACTCTCTTATTGAAATTCCACTTAGGGTGACCCCAGTTTGAATTTTAGGAGAGGCAAAGTGTAAAGGCGACGGTTTTCCATCTGTTGAGTGAATTTGTCATGTGAGATGCCTTGAAAGGCCAGAGCTGGGGTAACAAGGATGAGACTGTAGATTAACTTCTTGGAAGCAAAGACTTGCCCAGTTTTCCCCATGTGATTCTGGTGTTATGTAACACAACAATCTGTAGTCACTGCTCCGGTTTTCCTATAATGCAACTTCAGTAGCATCATGGGAAGTTACTCTGGTGACTTCCAAGCCTAACTGGTAAGTGTGGGATGCTCTGGACAGGTATCAGCTCAGTGGGGGAATCAGCATGTGCCGTTTATGGCCAGGATTACCGTACCGGACCAGTCTGAGTACCATTATTGTCCATAATGACAGTAACACAAAGAAACAGATGCATCACGAGGATGTAAAAGACCCATGTGGGGTTATTCCCAAGGCCCATTTGGATAAGCCTTCCTCTTCCACAGTGGCCAGCCATTCATGGGATGCCCACAAGCTCACCAGGAGTGCAACGGCAAGAGGGGGCTGGTGACGCCGACGCATTCTTATCCAGTGCAGCTTTCAAGCTGAGCGTCAGAGAACTGTCCAAGGAGCACCAAGGACAGCACCTCAACGAGTCCACAGTCTCCCTACCTCCGGCCCATGCTCCCCTCTAGCTGGGACGGAGGTCAGAGTGCCTCCGATCCTTGGGGCAATACTTAGCCCCCCAAAATAGTAAGCATTGATTATCCTCCATGAATTTGCCCAACGGCCTTCCAAGTCCGTGGCTGCAGTGAGCACGTCTTTGGGCAATCCATGGCTTAACTTTGCACAAAGGGGGAAAGTCCTTCCTTTTGTATGTCTTGAATTTCCCACGGTTCATTAGATGATCCCAATTTCTAGAAACTGGTGTTATGAGGAAGAAAACAGAAAATGACTTTCTCCTTTTTTTACACCCATATATCATTTCAACCGACTCAATCGTGTCCCCTCCTTGCTATTTTTTTCCTAAGCAAAAACCCAGCATTGTTTTCTTTCCCCAACAGACAATTGCTCTAGCTCCCTCCTCACTTTTATTGCCTTTTTGCGCACTTTTTCCATCCCATTTGGAAAATGCATTTTTATTATTGCCTCAACATGAATTTAAATTTGATATTTATGTTTCTCTAAAAGTACACCTTGAGGATGAATTTCAGAAGCAACATACGAAAATATTCATCTTCAGAAATTTAAATCTGACTTTTAATACCCACTGTGCCAAATTTCATATCAGCCATGATTTATATCAATAAAGAACAATATAAGGGTGTGATGTTATCTGTCATGAATATAGTCTGCTTCCAGGGCAGAGGACTTTGCAATCAGAAGTATTGTGTTCTGTATTCATTAAACACTTATATTTCACATCTTCCTAATAGGTGATCTTAAAATAGTGCTGGGGGAGGAATTAATTTTTTTCACATGTACATGTGGACTTATATAATTTTACACTTATAAATCAATATTTCATTATTCTTCAAAGTCCAAATTTACAGAGGAGTTCTCCAATTAAAAAGAACCCTTACAAGAAATGTACAGTGGGGGAAGGTCACACCAAAATGTGTATTTTAGCGACAAAACCATTGCAAACCCAAGATGTTAGGAAAATTGCTTGCAAAATTGTACGTCAAGAGAATTGTGCAAAAATGCATTAGACATTTTCCTGCAAATTTGTAGGTAGGAGTCTCAATGAATTTGACTGATTTTTTAAAAAATCTCAAACATCCTTAAGATGAAGTATTTGAAGACTAGAAAAATTCTCAAACTTTGAGAAAAAACAAACTTCAGAGCAGAAAAAGAAAACACTGAAGGTGTGACCTACGCATATTTAGAGAGGAAAAGTCCTTCCGGGGTTCTGCTGGAGGTTGGAGGACCCTTTTCTGTCTAAGCATGCATAGGATTGCGACCTGAGAGAATTCGTCGGATCTGTCTGTTCCACATTATATCTTACTATTACTTCTATTCAGAGACTGGCCTAAGGGCTAGAGACTTGCAGGGTCTTGAGCAAGTCTTACCTAGCTTTCTAGGATGGCTTAACAGCGAAGTGGAACAATTCCCCTGCCCGCACATCAAGCACTTATTGCTCTCAGTGGTGGAGTTAAGCATATGCTTAAATCTCAGCACTGGAATCAATGGGACTTGAAGACATCACTTGTCTGGATTCCACCCAAAGTCTGTGATAGTGTGGCATATTTTCCAGTTGCTGTAACAGATGGTGGCTTAGCCATTCTCAGCTTAGCATATGTTGCAGAGAAAGCCTGAAACTTGGTGGCGATCCCAGCTTAGTTCTGCGATCTCTAAAAGCTGGTGGGTCAATGTTGGTACTCACAGAAAGGGAGCTGACAGCACATATTTGCAAAGTGGGAGAAGGTGGAACTATTTCCAGGTGTTCACATCTTTCTTCTTGGTTGCATTAACAGGAGCTTGTCGGCAGTCACCCGGGTTGGCTTGTTCCCTGTAACGGGGGCTCTGTAGTACTGGAGCTTGGATGTTTGCACTGCACAAATTTGCACAACACAGCTCTGCTCGACACTAACTGGATTACTGTAATGCACTCTATGTGGGGCTGCCCTTAAAGACAGTCCAGATACTTCAATTAGTTCAGATGAGAGTTGCCAGGTTGGCTCCCGACTGAAGTCTGGGCCCAATTTAAGGTGCCGATATTGACCTATAAAGCCCTAAACAGCTTGGGACCAGGATACCTGAAGGAACGTCTCTTTCCCTATACGCCCTCCCACCCCCTAAGCTCTGCAGCAGAGGCCCTGCTCTGGGAACCCTCCCTGAAGGAGGTTAGACAGTGAACACCCGGAGGAGGGCCTTCTCTGTGGTGGCACCCCGACTGTGGGATGTGCTCCCCAGACAGGTTCACCTGGAGCTGGCTTGATTTTCTTTTCAGCGCCAGGTAAAAATCTATTTATTCACCCAACATTTTAAGGTTTAAATAATTTAAATGTGGTTTTATTATATTCTCAGTCACATTTTGTTACTGTATTTTTTATGTTGCGTATTTATTACCTATTTATATTGTAAGCCATCCTAGGACAATTAGATCGTGTAGGATGGGATAAAAATATTACAAACAAACAAATTTAACCTGGGGTGGTCTGGGACTGGAAGGAGAAACACAAGTGCTTCTTCATGGACGTCTGGAATCTCACTCTGGTCTTGCGAACACAACACCCCACGCTTAAGGAAGGGAAAGCATGACCGAGATAAAGGGTGAGTTTCCCACCAGGGTTTGTTGAAGCAATTGCTTTCTGGGACACTGAAACAGGGAAAGGTTCGCTATTTCCCTGCTCCCACTGTGCTCGTCTTGTATGCAAATCGACAGCTATAAAACCCCCGAAGTCCCTCTGCAGTGCCGTTCTGAGAAAAACCAAGACTACGAGCACAGCCCTTGGACTTCTCACCGCACATGGAAATGGGGAGCACATAACAAAATTATTGTAAGTAATGGTGCAATAATGATTTAAGCCAATTAAGTCAGGTCACTGGATGGGGCGTCTGGCAGAGTGAGACTTGAATCAGATCCAAAACGGACTCATTGTAAATGCCAGTAAGTTTGACAGTTGTCGACGAAGCTTGGAGAAGGACACTCACTGCATACGGAATTAAGGAAAAATTATGGAAATGAGGCTGTCGTACTCTGGGCGCTTCGTGAGAAGGCAAGACTCCCAGGAGAGGGTGGGCAGGCTGGGGAATGTCAAAGGCAGAAAGAGGAGCGGAGGACCGAGTAAGAGGAGGACGAGCTCCATCAGCGAGGGCTCAGCCTCGGGGGAGAGTGCCCGGCAGGGCATTCGGCCAAGAGTGGGCTGACCTGAAGAGTGCAAACACCAAGGAGCTCGGCCGTCCTATGAGGTGGTCCGACGGCTACCATGAATGTCAGAGGACCTGAACAATCGGCTTTCTGCCTAGCGAACAATTCAGTGTTGGAGAACACTTTTAAAAAAATATTTTTTTAAAATTTTTTTACATCTGTTAACTGCCCGGAGAGTTCCAGCTACTGGATGGTATAGAAATCAGATCGAGAAGCTGCTACTCATCTGAACCTGGAGCAGAACTTCAAGGGGGGTAATTCCTCATCTTGTTCCAACAGAAATTCTGACGGCTCTCTGCCTCCCGGAATCTGGTCGTTAATCAACAGGAGCATGTGCTTGGCTTTGACCAAACTCTTTCTGTACTCATTCTCTTCCACCCCTGCTTGCCATTGAGCATGTCGGCTGGGGCTGATGGGAGTTGTTGCCTAAAACACCCAGAAGGCCTCAACTCACCCACCTGTGATCTTGGGAAAGCCTCGGGTTGGCAGTGGGGGGGTGGGGGTGAGCAAGCTGGGATGGCTCTGGGAACAGCAGGCTCTCTCTCTCCTCCCAAAGTCCACTTCATGCCGAGAACTCGATGAGCTTCGGGCAGGAAGTGAGTTCCAGTGCCACGCTGCTCCTATACATGCGACCTGCGGGCTTGCGAGCTTGTGCAAGGAATTGCAAACTTCTGCGCCTCTCGCACAAGGGATTCCTGCACTGCATGCTTTGCACAGAACATCTCCTGGTGTTTGGGGACCGGGTCTCGGCTTGGCTCACTTCCTGGCCTGCAGATACCTGGGAACGAAATCCAGCAAATGTGGGAGAGCCCGATTCCTGACCCAATCTTCAACATCCCGAGTCGTCGGCACTTGTTCTTCCCGAGTGTTTCACAAAGCGAAGCGGCTCCGGCCATCTCCGTCCTGTGTGTTTGCCTCGCTCACTGACCGCGATAGCTGCCAGTGACGTGCAATGCCGTCTGCCTGT